GGCTTTGGGTCCAAGTATTTTCCTCCCATGCAAGTGCTCTGACAATTCTTTAACTTATATTTTTATAAATTATTTATTTATGTATTTTTCTATTATTAGTTGAATTAAAATAATTTTCTTTTGTCATTTAATTCATTTGTCCATAAAATAAATTTTTTTTAATTGCAAGTCATGTGCCCACTGATTTATCATTGGTCCAAATTATTTATAGAAACAATTAATTGTAATAATAAAAAATTTTTTTTTTAAAAAATTCATTTTAAAATCTTTTTTTTTTTACTTTTAAAAAAATGGCAACAATCGAAAGAATTGACCAAGAATTAAACAAAGCAAGAGGAGATTATGAGAAGGCAGTAAAGAAGTTGGAGGAGTGGGAGCAGAAATGGAGTGGGAGACTAGACGATTTAAAAAGGAAGAAAGTGAAGGAAGATTATGAAGGAGAGATGGATGAGTTGAAAGAAAAAGAGAAGTCGTTGGAAGCAGAGAAGAAGAGATCATGTGGTATTTCTACAACAAAGATTAACGAAATTTAATAAAGAAGAAGGTAATGAACAAATTACATAAAAAAAAAATTTGTTTTTTCATTCTTTTTGTTCCATTTATTTATTTATTTGTTTGGATATACTGTTCATGATGTCTTTCTAAAATTTCTAAATTATTTCTAGTGGAATTGTTGGAAGAGAAATTGAAGAGAAAATGTACTGAAGTGAATTTGTTGGAAGTGGAATTGGGTTTAGAAAAGTCTAAACGTATTAAAGTAATAGAAGCATTTGCAAAAACTTCTTCAATTGATAGTCTTACATATTTGTGGCACACTTATGATCCACAACATTTACCAATGTCTGATTGGTTTCAACCATCACAAAGTTCCTTTAATCTCAATAGAAGACCAAATAGCAAAGATGAAAAAGACTATCAGACTTTTTTTTGTAATGAAATCCTAGCACAATTGCCAGAAAACCATTACATTAAAGTTCTTGACACTCATGATTGTTTTTACTTGGATGGGTTGGCACCAAATATCTCAGCTTTGCACAGTGACTATGGATTAGATATTCATGTAATCAATTCAGTTGGTGATATTAAACCAAGGAAAACACCAACATTTGCATTCCAAGATGCACATAAAGGACAAGTCTTGAACTATGGTATCAAAATATTACAGCATCAAAGGGAACGATATGAAGTGACAAATTTTCTGACAGACTTTTATGAGATTTTATTTATTCGTGTTGTCAAAGAAGAGCAGAAAAATGGATTGCAATTCACAGTCCATTTTTCTAGTCTTTTCCAATTTGATGGTGAAGGAAGTAAATATCTACGAGCTTTATTATTTGAGATGCCATACCATCCTGAAATTGGTGAGTTGTATTGATTTTGCCTCAGTATTTTATATAATATGTTTTCTGATGTTTTATTTCATTTAATATAGGGTTGAATGTTCGCACAAGTTCATTAATAGCACAGACAAAAACTTCTAAGATTTTTGCAGTGAAAAAAAGAAATGATTTGGTTCTTAAAATTGTACATCAAAAGATTTTACTGGAAAGGGAAAAAAAAGCACTTGAAAAATTAAAAGGAATTATTGGGATTATTCAACTTTTGGGGCAGTCAAAATGTGCATTATTGTTATCTCCAAGGGCAGAATGTTCATTCAACAATTCAGGGCTACCAGTATGTAAATTAGCAGCAGTTGTTGATTGCTTGGAACAATGTCATCAACAGGGAGTTGTGCACCGTGATGTGTGAACTTCTAATATTTTAGTTAATAGCAGTAATGATATTATTTTAGCAGATTTTGGCTCAAGTGCTTCAATAGGAGACGTAAGCATTTCAAAGTTAGCTTTTAAATAGATGGAGTTCATTGATACATTAAAAAAAGATTTTTTCTTTCCAGATAGATTTTTATGGAGGTGCACCATTGTTTTTAGTTTCTGAACGTGTGCTAAACAGTTATGGAAAAATCATAGATGCTCATCCAAAGGATGACCTTCATGCATTAATTCGGTCTCTTTATTTACTTGTAAATCAGTCAAATTTAAACGAAACTTTTTTAAACATTGATGACACAAATTCAGTTCGTGAATATTGGGAAATATATTTAAAAGTGAGCCATGGAAGACCGTGCATAGACATTGCAATGAATTAGCATATTATGAACTTAAATGTATCATTGAAAATTTGTAACAAATTCAATAAAAATTTACTATTGGTTAAATTAAAAAAAAATTTCATATTATTTGTAAAAAATGCTTGGAAGAGGATGATTTGTTATCTATGTTACATGTCATCCTTGGAACATTATTGGAGTGTTCCAGTTACAATGGAAGTTTATCCACAATGACTAATACATATATTGGTCTTTTGGTGTCTGTATGGAAAACCCTACAAAGTGAACATTAATTTTATAAAATTATATATATAGGGATAAGTGTATATGGTAAATGATAATCATAATGGTTCTAATGAATATGAAAAGGCAATTGATTTTTGAAAAAGGTTGTAAATGTGGTTGCTCTTCAAGAATTCCCAAGGAAGAATTTTCAGAATCAAGAGAATCTTTTCAAGCTCTTTCCAAGTCTGAACAAGACATATTTTTAATGGCTCAGCTTAAAGCAATGGATGGTGGATTAACAAACACTAGCAGATGCCTTAAAAAGAAAACTAGATCTAATAAAAGAACTTTCTATCACTGGGATCACAATATACCTCTTTGTCAAGAAACTTATCTCAATATGTTAGGGATTGGCAGAACTTATTTTGAAAATATCAGAAATCATCTGATAAAAAATGGTCTTTTGCCAAGAATTCATGGCAATATTAAAAGAATGCCTCAATGGAAAACTAAAATGGTGATTGACAAAAATGTTGCTGAAATTGTAAAGAATTTTCTAGAAAATTATGCAGAAGTCCATGGATTACCAAGTCCAGGAATAAGTATTAATAGAATAACCCAATCAGTTATCTTTTTACCAACTGAAATGAGTTATAAATCAGTGCATAGAGACTTTCTGGCTGGCCTAGAAGAAGATAACAAATTGAAATTTTTAAAATATGATGCCTTTAGAAAGTTATGACATCAATTGATACCAGAAATTCAAATCATGAGTTCAAGGACTGACTTGTGTGATACTTGTCAACATTTTAGAGATGGTTTACATTACAATGCTCGTCAGGAGGAAGAAGCTAAAGATTTGCTCAAAAGATTTAAAGAACATCTGTCCAAAGCCAAATTAGAGAGAAATTACTATAATAAAAATACCAAATTAGCAGAAGAACAAAGAAAACTAGTTGATCAACATTATTCAAAGAGTAAAACACAGTATTGTAATATTGATGCTACTGCTCATTATAGTTACGATTGAGCCCAAAATGTTCATGTGCCCCATTCTGATCAACAAGTAAGTAAGATTTATTATCTTAGTCCATGTAAAGTCAATTTATTTGGTATTCAAGATGAAGCAGTAAGGGAACAAATTAATTATGTTCTTGATGAAGATGAAATTATAGGTAAAGGTCCTAATGGAACTCTTAGTATGATTTTTGATGGGATTAAGAAATTGAATAAGGGTGAAAAACATTTAAAGATTACTTGTGATAATGCTGGGGGACAAAATAAAAACAATGTAACAATTTGTTTTTATTTATATTTAGTAATTTGTGGTTATTATGAAAGCATTGAATTGAATTTCATGGTTCCAGGACATACCAAATTCAAATGTGATGGTAGTTTTGGATTGATTAAAAAACTCTATAGGAAAAC